GATCCATCTTAAACCTGCCGGAGGAGCTCAAACTAATTACTCATGAACATCCCAGAAAGGTGGTGATGTCAGCTAAACTCATTATTCTCAGAGCCAAAAGTCATATCAAGCAGAACCTCTGTGCGATACACAAACCTAAAGGCTTCATTAGTTGCAAGGATTTATGTGTATGAGCCCTGGTATGGATGATAAATTGATCTAAAAAAACAGTTGATGATGTGTTTTCACTAAATTAAAGCGGCAGCACAGTGGAAGTTACAGAAAGGTGGAGGCTTATGTAACTATTGATCACAGCCACGGCTTGCACAAAAAATGCTGAAGAACAAAACAATCCATAAACCCTTTCCCTGAATGTACACACCTCATACATTCTTTCTAGTGAGTGTATGTAATTTGATGATTAAAATATTCACTATCACCTGAAACTTTGCAGAACTGGGCCTAAATTACTATAAAGTTCACCTTAGTTGTAAATCTGTAGAGAGTTGTTATTTATTTATTTTTTTATCTAGCAGCTAATGCGTCACAAAAGGATGTTGTTCATGGGAGGGCCTGCTATTTGTATCTACAAATCCATTGTCAGTTCAATAAATGTTCAGAAAGATATATTAGAAAATCTAACATAAAGTTTATCTAAACTTGCTGTATATATGCATATTTCTTGATATATATATATATAAACCCCTACTATGTTTATGAAGTAAGTGCCTGTTATGATGGTATGTCTGTATGTATTAGGATGGACATGCAAATGTCAGGAATACAGTTTGTGTGGTCTGTTTTTGTGTTTCCTTTCCTTCTCCACCAGGTGGTGCCCCGTCCTCATTGGGTCTCCATGCACACCTGCNGAAACCTGTTTCAGTAGATCTCACCTGCAGTTACTCGTACACTCTTCTTCTGTTTCTTCATCCTCTCCCCAAATATCAACAGCAGAGAAAATCAACGCCAATAGAACAGCAAAGCAGCACACCAAGGCAAAGATCACAATGCACTTCTGCTGAGACTGCAAGAAAGAGGAAAAAAGCAAAAGCACATTGATTATTTGGGTTGCTCCTGAACACTTCTGTTAAAAACAAGACAAAAGATCTCCAACCTTGGCTGCTATTAGCTGGCTGGATGACAGAACTGATTTACTGCTCAGTTCAGCAGGTCATATCATGATGGAGGGGAATTCAACACTAGCATGTTGTGCCATATGACCTTATAGTCTCAGACCTAGATTTAAACATGAATAAAGATGGATGAGGATCTAAATAAAGAAGTCGAATATTGTGTTTTTTAACAATAAGAGGACTAGCTGACCTTCATGTCTCCACTATTGTTACAAAAAGCAAACCTCCAATTTCTCTTCAGCCTTACTGGAATACATCCAAAAATGTGAATTACTGACTGAAATCATTAATTCAATTCCTCCTGATGTCTTAATGTTTTAACCAGTGGATCTATTAAGAAGGTTTTAGAGTCTGATTTGACTCGAATCATAAACACATCTCTTAAGTCCAGTGTTTTCATCCAAAGCCTTAAAAACAGGAGTTATCAAAGAATTGTTGAAAAAAAGAAGTTTGAACAAACAGATCCTGCTGAAATACAGGCCCATCTCTAACCTCCCCTTCATAAGTAAGATTGTTGGAAAAGTTGTGTTTCAACAGTTAAATGCCTTCATAAAAATGATCAGCTGCTTCCCTCCAGGTTACCATGTCAACCACAGTACAGAGACTGCACTGATTAAGGTGTTCAGTGACATATGTATAAATGTAGACTTCGGAAAAACCACAAACTGGGTCGGCCTTTCTGGTACAGGACTTGAGTGATTTAAATATTGCTTGATGGCCAGGGACTTTTATGTGTCAGTAGGGAACTTTAAATCAGAGAACGGAAAATCACAACTGGGAGAAATTATGTGCATCAATTTTAATTATTTACATAATAGAATAATTTGTATATTTTAGTTTAGTGACCTTGCATTTTTTTGTGAATGAGTGTAATTCTTTTAGGACCCTGAAACCTTATCTTGTTGTATTTAAGATATATGAATTAATTCTGGAGGACTATTATCAGCTTTACCTGGAGCAACTGCAATGTCCCTCATTCAAGCTTCAGCCAATTAATGTCATGACTGAATGTTCTCCGACATGAAGTGGATCCATCTTTCAATATCCTCTTCATTTAGCTCCTGGCCTACCCTCCCTTCAGCACGCCAGCGAACAGTTCAATTAACTTAGA